TACAACTGCCTCAAAATACTTCCAAAATTACGATCACAAGTGAAGAAATTTCGGAGCGGGCGACTAACTTTAACGCACAATTACTCAAAAATACTCATTTTTACGAAAAGTTAAACATTATCTTATTTGAAAATCTGTTTTTGATTAACACATTTTATTAAGAAAAAAACTATATCTTCATAATTGTAGGAAGACGCAGAAAAAAAATGATTTTTTTCAATTTTCAAAAAATCAGTGTTTTCAAACAATATGAGACCTGCACCCTTCTCTTAAACGTCCTTCAGATTATCCAGCAACAAAATTAATCAAAATCGATTATGCCATTTTATTAAAAATGTTGAAAATGTCTCAGGGGCTTCGTGTAAAGCACCCCCCCCCTAAATTAAAATATCGGTTTCAAATTCAAGGGTTCGCAACAACAGCCAGATCTATTAGAGAATATCAATTTGGGAGAAAACGGTTGAACCGCTGAACGGTTTAACCGTTAGCGTTGTACACAGACTGATAGACGTTCTGCCGTCAATCGATATTGCTGTATCAATGCCACCCCACCTCCCAAAAAAGGGGTTCTGGCTACACCACGTGTTTTTGTCTAAATTTAGCAGCTGGTTTTATCCACTTTTTCGATACTAGGGCCCTGTAATAAAAGTATTTCTGCCAAAAATTCGCCGGTTTTTGCCCAGCATTACATAACATTCTCTTCATTAGAAGTTCCTTCTTAATCGTGAGAAAGTAAAAACTAGTGGCGCTACAGAATGGCTCAGACTTTCTCGTAGTAATGTTTTCTAATTTCCTTGGTATTGGCTAGCTTTACGGTCTTGTTCCCATCCTCTTGTCGGCTGCCATTTATCGCCACCTTAAATACATTTTTTTGAAATTTTCTCAATTTTTCGGATCCTAGTGGTAGATTTGAAATATTACTTTTAGAATATTAAAGAAGAGAAACACCTCATCCTGTATGTAAATGATTGTTAAAAAAAAGATGGAGCGTTTTTTAAGGAAAAATTGTTTAAACTCTACACTAAATGCGAAATTTGAAGCTCTTTTTCACAGAAATCTTCAGTGATTTGGAAAAACTTGATTTACAGTCATTTGGAAGAGCTTTCACTCATAAATATAATAATGTATACAAATCGCTGAACGTCCATATTAACGGCGTGAGAGATGTTCCAGAAAAAGTACTTTAGTGTAATTTTTGAAAAACAAAATATACAGCTAATGTAATTCTCTGTCATCTTAAACAGTGCAATAAGCACTATCAGTACGAAAAGTTTGAAGAAACAATTTGGAGCCGTTTTTGCGAAAATGGCGTTTATGCATTTTTTGGAAATGGGAAATTTTGAGCGCGTTTTCTCAGTACAACATTGAGATTTCAAGAAACTTTTTCAAACATCATTTAAAGAACAAGTACTCATAAATACAATAATTTTAACAAATCACCGTTAGTGTAATTATTAACAACGCGAGAGGCTAGTCAGGAACATTACATGTTTGTAATTTTTGAGAAAACAAAAGATTAGAGGAAAGTGGCGTGTATATCATCTTATAGAATTCATTAATCACTCTCTCTATCAAAAGTTAAAATAAACAGTTGGGAAACATTTTTGAGGAAATCTTCCTTTTGTTATTCTTTAAAATTGCACAAATTGCACGCAATATTACGCGATTACCCCTAAAATTTTCAAAAAAAATTACATGATCTTAATGAAAGAACTAATTATAGAGAACGACTTACATTTGAAGGGAAAATATATTACTAATTTTTTAGTTGTAGAAAAAATTCAAACTTTTGCAATTTTCGAAAATTTAGATTTACCAGTGAAAATCTGTTCTATGCCATCTTATAAGTGAATTTTACTCTATTTTTACAAGAAATTAAAAAAGAATTGGAACGATTTTCGAGAAAATTTTGAAGATGTCCGAGGGGTTCATGTAAAGTACCCCCAAAAATTAATGAATGTTTTTCAAAATCGCAGAGCTTCGACTCAGGCCAAATCAACAGGAGTTTATCCAGCTTGGAAAAAATCGTGCGCCTAGTCTAGGCTAGTGTTGTTCACATACAACAGACGGACAGACATACTGACAGAGGGACGGACGGACGAGCGAACGGACGGACGGACGGATGGGCGGGCGGGCGGACATTTGGCCGAAATCGATTTTTCGATATCAAGGACCACAAAATAGGGCTTCTGGCTATACCACGTGGTAGAGGATTTTTTCCTCAATGTAGCAACTGGATTTATCCTTTGTTTTCGTTATTAGAGCTCGGCAATTATTTTTTTTCTGTCAAAAATCCGCCGTTTTTTCGTGCAGCGTTACATTACTTTCTCTATATTACGTATATTACTCCGTATATACGTACGTATACGAGAAAGTAATACTTGATTCTTACCCCACCACCATGTACCACGCTTCTTCAAATTCCCTCTCCCCTCTTCAGTGTTGCGTAATATGTGAATGGACCCTTATTTACTACATATAAAAGCAGGAAAATCCCATATTTACGGTGACAAAGTCCCAGAAAAGCAGTTTTTCTGTCAAATACGGCACTTTTTGTTGTAGCATTTCATCACTTTCTCTTACTTTGAATACGAAAACGCAAAATACTCTACAATTGCTAGTGTTTCAAAATTAGTGTATCTGCAAAATTTACCTGATGTAACATGTTTTGGTTAATTGTTGACGGAAGAAAATTTTCTGTATTTCTTGGACACATTTGAGTATTAAGTCTTTCGTTAACAATATTTCGGATTGTTGAGAAATATAACTCAAATTTTAGAGTCAGGTTTACGTCGGTATGATATTTAGGGTCGTTAAAGATTCTTCATGTTTTAAGTCTTTCAGTTATTGAATTTTACCCTTACTTCATACCTAACGTATTAATTCGATGTTCTGTTCGGCTCTACGATGACTCGCTAGTCGGGTTTCCATATCAATTTATTTTTGAAATGTCAAAGCTCATAATGAAGCACGTCTACTTTAAAAGTCATGCTTTAAAAGTGTAAAACACGTTGCAAATTCAGAAGTGTTTAATTGAAGGAGAGATCAGGAAGTTGTCGAATCCGAGAACGATGGCGTTGAAAGTTCGAGAGGCAACAGTGAACACGCTTTCACAATTGTACTTTTTTGCGAAGTCGTTCTAACTCGATGCTCGATTTTCCACTTCAAAGATGGTACGCTCGGGTACCGTTAGCAAAGGTGACGTCAATTTTTATTTCCCCCTCTCTCGCTCACTTCGTTTTACCTTCTCAGCAAGCGCACAAAATACGAACACAAGCTCGGCAGTAGTTTTCGTGCACCTGTCAACTGAGGTGGTATCGAGCTATGTGGAAGTGGATGCTATTTGTTGCTATAGGTTTATCAGGTATGGGGAATAATTTTATTGTATAGAAAGAACGTACCATTTTATATTGATTTGCAAAGAACTTTCAGGCTATCTAGCATTTTTGGACGACACAGACAAATGCTACGCGCCCAACCTTCAAACTTCGCCTCAAAATAGAACAAGAAATGAAAAGCATTTTCCGACCAAAAGTAGAACAATTAAACGAAGAATATGTGCTTCAAAAGACGGTGAGTTTCAAAATAATTTCATAAACAGTTCCCACTATTTGACGAATGAACAGTGCTGTCAATTCATGTGTTTAAGCATTGTGTTCAAACATTGCTTTGTATGAACAAAGTGATTAATTTATTCGCCTTAAAATTTATACAATTGAATCACACTTTCACTTGCTTTCAATTAATTTATTTTATAAGGCATATCTTCATTTATAACGCAAACTCTCAAAACTTTCCCTTGATATATCTATAGTGTGTATATGTCGGGCTACAAGAGTTATCTCATTATCACTCTTGAAAGTTATTATCGTGACATTGGCAATAGTTTAGGAACTTTTGCAAGAAATAATATTGCGACTACTGCTTCAACTTGTTGAAATAGCTTTTAAATATATAATACTTCAACATGTAAGAACTGGTTTTATTTTACTTTGTGAGAGTATATTAAATATGCGTAAGTGCGAATAATCTGTTGTTAGTTAATATTTCGGATTGTTTAGAAAGATAACTCAAATTTTATTTTGCATTCTGTAATATAGTATTTTTTCTATCGTAAATATTATAAAATTATAAAAGTTTTTAAGTAATCAATATTTTTCTGGAATATTTTTGATAATACAACTTAAAATTATTGAAAATTGAAATCGTATGTATAGTGTATGGGGTGAACGTGTAAGATATTTCTTATTATTAAATCCGCATGAACATATTAAAACTAATGATGTGTACATTTACAACCAAAAATATTTATAAATGAATTTTGCTTCAATATTTTTAACTATTTCATTAATTTTATTAAAATTAATAAGTGTATATCTCCAGTTCAATTGGCGATGGTTTATTCGTCGGTGTTGCTGAACGGCGACCATTCAATATTACCGCCTAACGGTACATATTACTGTCAAAAGAGTACACTAGTATCGCAAGCACTGCGCATGCGCGCAACGTACTTTGACATGTGTGTCAAATGTGGGCAGACGAATCCAAAAAAAAAAAGGTTGTGCGAGTGATAGCTGTAAAGGTTATATGAAGCGTTCTGACGTTCGTGCACTTCTCTGTGATGTTTATTAAATCTTTAAAATGAAGAGCCAACTTTCTCGCATTACTCTACTGTTTTTTCTGGTGGTATTCGTAGAAGCTATCGCCAATACATCAGAGAGAGGTATTGTATCTCACATTAGAGGCTTAATTGTTTTGATTTTATTTTTTAAATATTTATTCCAGCATCAGTTTCACATTGTTGAACAATTATTAATTTTGTTGCTTAATTACTTTCAAAAATGTTAATTCTGACAGATTTGAAAATTATTCAGCATCAGTACAGTATTTTCTCAAATAAGTGTTGTTGATATAAAATAATTTTCTTTGTGCTACATTAATTGTTTCATTGGCCAAGGATGTTAAGGAAGCCGTTAAAATTTTTTCCGCGAAAAGAAAGAATGACGAGGCTGAGTAGAGATTTGTTATGGTTGAATAGTTGTGGTTGGTTTTCTCCTGCTGCGGGCATTCACCGCTTGAGTGAAAGGTAGTTAATTAAAAAATGAAGTGTGAATTTAATGTATGTTTTCTTGTATTCGCTCTTCCACCATCTAGTTTTTTGTATCCCTTCTAGAACTTTTTTTTTAAAATGTTTATTCGCTTACCATACATTTGTTCGTATGTACACATTTTATGTAATTTTCGAGTTAATGAACTCTGTTAAAATGTTGAATAATGATGCCCTCTTTCCTGAGATGTCTGTTTCTACGTTTCATGAAGTAGTTTCCCACTATAGAGACGTGACCCGCTGCATGTTTTCTCAGCCGTAAAGATGCGTGACATCATGACCCACGCCCATCTGCCCAACGACCTCTTGTTCCTCCCTCTTCCGCACTTGTTTATCTCCCAGATGCGAACCGCAACGCCCACCCAACGGTTTTGCTAAGAGATTGCTAAGTTATCTTCATAGCCTCGAACAAGACAAGCTGTTTTTCAATGTACTTAGATCTTCCAGAGCAGAATGAAAATATGCGTATTAATTGCGCAATAACGATGCCTTTATTTAATGATGAGAAAGCAATGAATGAAATGAATAAAAAAAGAACGAAACAACGAATATTATTAGTTAAATAAAAGTTTTTAAAACTGTAACAGCATTAAAATGTTACTATTATTTTAAAATACTACTCAATTTTTCACTGTAGACTATTTAACATTTATTTTGAATTTATAAATTTAATTCAAAATTTAGAATTCTATGAAAATAATTCAGGCAGAATACATTGATGCAATTATTTCTAGAACTCATTGCATTTTTAAGTATTGAAAGTGACAAACAATGCTAGTAATTATGATTCTTTGCTACAACTATGATTAGATGTACAATTATTAAAAGGAGATATGATATTTAAATAGGTATTACATTTCCACAACGCATTTTTATTGTTAACAGTAATTGCATTAATTCTACTGCAAGTGTTCTCATGTATATTATACATCTGACGATATTCATGAGAGTAAGAATATTTCAATTTACTTTTCAGTCAAGGTGTATTTTGAAATTAATTCTTCAGTTGTTGAAATAGAAAAGAATTGTTTAAAAAGTCATCGTTTTCAAAATGTGGGTGAAGTTATAAAAAATTTTCATATGCAGAGAAATAGAACACAAATTGTAATTATTTTAATTTTACTTTCCTCTCAATTTGTCTCTACATTCCCATTTCTCTTTGTTTATCTTTCTTGCTTATTATTTTTATTTTTTTGTGTGAAGTTATTAGATCCCTTGCTTCACTTCTAGTCATTTACACTTAGTGGCATACAATTTCATGAAACTAATTTATTTGTGTACTTTTATAAATTATTTGAATTGTTATAATTGATTAATTTATTAATTAGTTTTCTCATGTGATACAATTGATAAAATGGCAAGTCTTAAAATATGAATTTAAAATATGTACAACAAGATAATGTTTTGGGGAATTTTTTCTCCCATCTTGAGGCCATCTGGAATTAACATTTAAAACACATCATCATACAAAAATATAGAATACAATAAAATAATATTACAGAAACATGTATATGGCACACTTACTTCTACTGAGTAAGATCAGTTCATCATTGTTACAAGAAGTTGGTCTAAATGCATCAATATTCAAGTTGCATGCATTTAATCTTGTCAAAAATTTAAAATGATATTGTGTGACTTATCACACAAGTGTTACCAGACATGACCTGATACTTTGGCATTTCGACTTGAAGAATAGAGGGTTAGTTCATTGAGGAAGGAAAAGTGGGGAAGGATATAGGATGGAGAGAGTTGGGTGAAATGTAATTTCTGGCTCTCAATTGGAAAATTAAAAAATGAGTTCTTTTTCTTTTGTGTACCCTTGTCTTACTTTATGAAAGATGTTGTCATACGTTTTAGTGAATTGCTTGCATTCAACAATAGAATTTAGTTTATTCCTAAGTTCCATGTTAATAGTTTCAGAGACTAATCTTGTATATCTTCTGTGTTTAGTTTCAATAATCTTAAAAATATCAAAATCAATGGTGTGTGATTTCTGTCCTATGTCTGGTTAAAAAAATTATGATGGTTAGGACAGTCCAATACATTGTAATCTTCCCTCTTTCAACCTTCCCTTCCTATCATTTTACTAACCTTCTCAGTTCTTCACGTTGAAATACCACAGAACCAAGTCCTCTCTCAATAGACTTGTATGATATGCCACACCAGAACATTTGAAAATGTTGACCAAATGCGTGTCTTGATACATTATTGTCAACAACGTGTACATCAGAATGGTGATCTGCTATTATTCAGTAGAAGCAAGTACCATGTTCATGTTTCTGGTGTATTGATTTTATTGTATGCTACATTCTTGTACACTGAAATGATAATTGGAGATGGCCTGAAGAATGGGAGAAAAAGTTCTCCAAAACATTGTCTTACTGTAACTACCTGAATTAAATTCAATCTTTTTATTCTTGTCGTTTTATCAATTTTATACAGTGAGAAAACTTATTAATAAATTAGTTTCATGAAATGTAATGTTTTTCAATTCTACACATATTGATGGTTGTGCACCACAAAGTGCAAGTGATATAAGCGAATAAGGAAATTAAGTGAAATAAGGATAATACAAGGATAATACAATATATCCGTCCGTCCGTCCGTCCGTCCGTCCGTCAGTCCGTCCGCCTGTCTGTCTGTCCGTCTGGCCGTCTGTCTTATCAACCGTCGTTCTGCCCGTCCGTCTTCCTGCCTGCACGACCGCCTGCCCCTGCGTCCGGCTGTGTGTCACCGTCCGTCTGTTTACCCGCCTGTTTTTCAAAGTATGAATAGATTGAATGTAATTTTGGGTGAAACACGGGCAATATTAAACAATATTAAAAAACAAGATTTTCCTAAAAGTGCCTTCACATTTTTTCTTCAAACTTTTTGCACAGATAGTGCTGTATGCACTGGATAACAAGACGTAAAAAGCCTTTGTGATGTAGTCTCAAGAATTTTAAAAAATTACTCAAATGTAGTTTTTCTTGCATATCACTCACAGCATTACAGGCATTTTTTATTGAATGTGTTTGTTCAAGAGCTGCAAGTGATTTTTCGTGTGGTTTCTTGAAAACTTAAAAAGTTTTCAGTGAAAATGAGCTAAAAATTGGGCATTTTTAGAAATATACAAAGGACAGTTTCTCAAAAAGTCTCCAAATTTTCATTATATTTTGTATATTAGTGTATGTAAGTGCCAAATTCACTTATTTACATGACATGTACGCCATTTTGATGCATTCTTTAATTTTTTTATAACTAATCATTGGTAATATTTTTTCAAATGTCTCTCATGATTACGGGCATTTTCTGTACATTATTGCATTTGTGAACATAAGTGCTTCAAGTGATTTTGAATGATGTTTCTGGAAAATTCAAAACTTCTCTGTTAAAATGAGCTCAGAACTGTGCATTCTCAGTAATGCTGGAACAACATTTTCTCAAAAACGGCTTCAAATTATTCAATGAAAATTTGCATAGAGCACTATGTTTTATTATTTTGTAATATTTTAATGGCATATTCAATTCTGCCTGTAGGGGTCCAAAAGATCAAGAAAATGTGAAAAAATGTTTTGGCACCAATAGCAGGTAGGAGGAGGGTGAGGCAGTGTTGATAAGCTTGTCTAAACTAAAGAGATTAGAAAAGTAATGAGTGCAAGAAAACCTGTGCCATTCTCTAGGACTACTAGTTCTTGCCTAGGCATCAATAAAAATTTGTGTGGTGAAAATAATGCGTCAATAGATATTGATCTAACCATTTTAACACTCTAACAATCATTTTAAGTATGCTCCTATAACAATAATTGATTTGAAAATATCTTTAAAATATGTTTGTATTCACTTGTATTGTATTCATGGTAGAACTGAGTTGTATAAACTTAGAACTTATTTCGAAATTGCAAATATTAAATTTTTTGTCCCTAATTTGGAATCTTTTTTAGTATTTTAGTGTCTTTTTGGCTGCATGTTTTGGATTTTTTTAGTATGTAATGACTGGTCTACAGTAAAGAAGTATAATCCTGTTTTTTTCAACAAAAAACAAACATTATAAAGAAAACAAAACTCAATATTAATATCACTTAACATTATGTATGGCTTTGTACATTATAATTGTAATGATTTAAGGACTATAATATCTTTAAAATTTTTCTATTTATTGTTTCATGGCTATTGAATAATTTTGTGAGATGTTGCAAAATAGTGTTAATAAAATCTCAGAAAAGTCAAAAATTTGCATTTAACTAGGAAAATTCTGGGAGAAACAGGAACTTACAATGAAATACTGCATTTGGTGGATGAGGTTGCTTCTATATTTGATGCTTATTAACATTAAGCAAACATAAACTTGTAACTGTAACTCATTTGTTTTAAAGTAGACAGATTTCACTGTATTGTGGCTTTCATTATGCTGTATATTACAAACAATGTTTGTTTTAATATTATCTTTTGAAGACCCATTTTGAAAATATATTTGACATAGAAAAAATATGAATTTCAATATTTTCAAGTCCATTAATTGAAGTTTTATATAAAGGCTATTTTTGAGTTACTGTATTTCTGTACGTGATGCCCAATATTACCTATTTTATAATGATGATGACTAACATTGTTAATAATTTGTTATTATTTGTCTATTTTGAAGTAAATATCTGAAAAAAGGTTAGTGCTAATTTTGAATAAAAACATTCAATTCTCTGTGGTTAAGAGGTAGTGTAGTTCATAAAGCATAGTATTTTATATTTTTCTCTGATTGTTTGTTTTGCAGAATTTCTTCTCCTGACTGTTGCTACAAATCAAACTGATGGTTATCAGAGATTTATTCGATCGGTAGGAATTTATGACATACCTGCCCAGGTACTGTAATATTTTTCAATGTACTTATTATTTCATTATTCATCAATCAATTTAAATCCTAAAACAATATTTCTGCATGCTGACCAAAGATATTGTACTATGAAAGAATTCAGTTTAAATTTTGAAGTTCCAAATTCCCATAAATATTGCATAAAAATGCATTGCATTAACAGAGAACAGAAAATGCATATTCTAATGTTTTACTTTGATCATTATCACTTAATTCTTGTAAATCATGGTTCTGTAAAATAGAATTTTATATGCTGTTGTGTATTTGGAAGGTATTGGGAATGAATCAAAAATGGTTGGGAGGAGACATGAATTACCCAGGTGGTGGATTTAAAATCAATCTTTTAAAAAAAGAATTACTTAAATACAAAGATGATCCACAAAAAATTATAATGTTTACTGACAGGTAATCAATTTTATTTCTTTTACTTTTCCCTATGAAATATTTCTTTCTTCCATGATCTTTCGTTTCATGTAATGTCATTCATGTTCCTCAGTTATGATGTTATCTTGCTTGCTCCGGTTGAAAAGATTTTGGAACGCTTTGATAACCTTGAAGCTCGTATAGTATTTTCAGCAGAAGGCTTATGCTGGCCAGATCAATCCCTTGAGTCATTGTATCCAAGAGTACAAAAAGGGAAACGATTCCTTAATTCAGGAGGTATGCAAAAGTGAATAAATTCTATTATTTTCAAGTTAATGTTATTTTTTGTGCAGTTTTTTATGCATTTGGTTCTTTTTTCTAGGTTTCATTGGATATGCCTCACAGTTATATGACATTATTACATCAGCAGAAATCAAAAATACTGATGATGACCAACTATTTTTCACAAAGATTTATCTCAATGAAGAATTAAGGGAGAAGTTTAATATAAAATTGGATCATCGATCTACTATATTTCAAAACCTAAATGGAGCAACAAGTTAGTACAATTCAGAAAAGTTGTTTTTGTAGTTTGTAATATTTACGTATTAAGTAATATGATTGTTTAATATAAGTAATATTTATGAAATAAATTTGCCTTATTCAGTGCAATGTTATTGGAAGTATAATTACAGGAATTATTTAAACACAAATGGCCTCAGTTTGTTAATGATAAAAAGTTCTCAACGTTCTTCTACAATTAAGTTGGCATTGAGTTTAAAACCCATGAAACTTGTACATGTTCATATTCTCTTCTTACCCTCAAACAAGACTGCTTCACCCAGATATTGTAACACTGATAAAATACTTGTTGAAAGATGTTTACAGATAGTTTTCTTCTGGAAGTCAGCCATTACAAAAGGGTAAAATCAAGAAAGGAAAGTTCACATTCAGACAAAATTTTGGTGGCTTACTGAAGCAAGTTTATTTTATATTTTTCAGTAGAGTTTTTATAAATGAATCATTATCTTTAATTCAAAAGCCCCGTAATAACATAATGAGACGTTCAACAAGTCCAACAGGTGCCAAGGCATTTATTGCCAATATACAATAGTGGAATAAGAATGGTAGTGAAATCAGTGCAAGAAATCACAATGAATGGCTCTTAATTTCCTAAATAAGGAAATTGGTACATTAAAAAAAATCGTCCTTATTAAACATCTGTGTCAATGTATCTACAGTGTTTTGTAAATCAGTCATGTGTAGAATTTCAGTTGTGTATGATGAATCCGTTTAAAGTTCATACTGAAATGACAAAGTGCAACGGGAATGTAATTAATCATAATATCAACATTATTGTTGCCACTAAAATAATTAATGAGAAGATAATCAAAGAATAACTTGATGAACAGGTTTCAGATCTGTGGTTAATTGCAGATTGGACTGTTTCCCAACATGGTGTCAGTAAACCAGCTGGGATCTCTCCTAGAGAGGTGATGGAAGAACTGACTTGTCTATCAGCAGCATCTCTAATATTTTGAATTAATGGAGTTACAGTTAGCCCCCTGGTCCCTTGTGAAGGGGGAAATAAGAGCAGAACCATACTGACTCGTTTCAACAAGGAACGTGTTAGATATTGGGATCCTTTGACATCTGGCAGAATACTGGCTGTCGGGCCCAGGATGTTTGGTTGCCGGGGCCAAGGACCGCCCACTGAGGTACTGGAAGAACAACAGAGATGGAAAAAAGGTGAAAACAGAAAAGTCTTGAGGTGATGGCAAGCTATCCTACCTAGGAGGATTTCAGAAGAGGATATACAACTTTGGCAGCACCTTCAAAGTAGTAGAACAAGGATGAACAGAGAGGAGTTGAGAGAAAACTTGATGTAATCTCTCCACCACCTTGAAGATAGAACTCCAGCCCCCTCCTGTTGAGGAAAAAGAAAATGAGCCCAAAGGGAGAGAACCAATGAAACTGATAAATCAGGGCAGATGAAAGAAGAACCAATACTGAGTAAACAATAAGACAGCATGTGCTACAAAAATAATAAAGATTCTGACCCGATCCTAACTACCAGTTCTCTAGAAACAGTTCTCAGCAATAGATGAATAATATTCATATGTTTGCTAATAAAGATTAGAAGAAGGGGACTGAATCCAGCAACTACTAGCCCCTAACATACCAATAACAATTTTAATCCTTGTTAAATTTCTTGGCACTTGGAGCTAGGAGAGGGGGCTGTTTTCCAGTTGGGAGTTCAGCCTTTGAAATTGAATCTCTGCTTGCTTTTCATTAAAATAAATTAATTTGGTTATACTGGCTAAGTAATATGAAAAGGAAAGCTGAGGTAAAAGATAAAATAAGCAAATGCATTGGTGTTTTTTTAACAAACAAATTACTTTTAATTTCTATGGAAATTTATGAATGTTCAAGTGCTTTATTTATTACAATATTGCCTGCAATTGTTTCAATCTTAATACAATTACCAAATGTTGATAGATCTTTAAAATAATATATTTATATAGATTACCTTTAGAACTTAAAATGTTTGTCTCTTTTTTTTAGGTGATGTAGAATTGCGATTCAAAGGTCGTGAAGCATATCTTCAAAACACTGTTTATAATACAAACCCTTTAGTTGTGCATGGAAATGGACATTCAAAGTTAGTTCTTAATTCTTTGGGCAACTACTTAGCAAATAGTTGGAATCCAGAAGATGGTTGCCTCAGTTGTTGGGACAATTCTATAGGGCTGGAAGACAAACCGGTATGATTTAAAATTGAAATGATGGAAACACAAGTATTGTTGTTTTATGAATGTTGAATTTATTATATATCAAATGAAACTTTTTCTTGCAGAAAACAGCCTATCCCAAGGTGTTAATTGCTATATTTATTGAGCAACCTACTCCATTTTTAGAAGAGTTCTTCCAAAAAGTTTTGAATTTAGAATACCCCAAAAATAAATTACATCTTTTTATTCACAACAATGTAAGTATTTTACTTTTGTCTCCCTCTTGATCTTTGAACTAGAACATTTTATATACCTGATTTGTTTGTAATATTACAGGTTAAATTTCATGAAGAAATTGTGAACCAGTTCATCTTGAAACACGCTGACAGTTATAAAAGTGTTAAGAGAATAGAACAAAAGGATGAAATAAAGGAAAAGCAAGCAAGGAGTTTAGCAATGTAAGAATTTCGGTATTGAACACTTATGTGTGCACATTTATTTAGAACTAAATATGAGAGGGGGGAATAAATTAATAAATATATAAGTAAATAAATAAATAAATAAAAATATTTTTTTAAATAGGATAATGAAATTGAATAGGAGAGCTCAATATATTGAGTAATGTATTTATTGAAATATTTTAAGAGAGGGAAAATTATGTTTTGGATTTAAATTTATTTCTTTTAAATTTCTAACTTTTAAATTTATTTCTGAACCAATGGGGAAGAAGCTTCTGCAAAGAGATTTTCTGAAGTGAATATTTGTAGTTATTTCAAGTAGCATTTCATTTGTAATATTCAATTAAGAAATTAAGAGACTTCTGTTACTGCACTTCAATAGTAAATACTATATTTTGTGAATAAGATCCATCAAACTTGAAGGGGGTGGAGGGGATGCTGAATGTATTTTAGTGCCACCTCTCTCCCCCCCCCCCGGTGTACTGCTGATCTAGCATACTCTATGTACCCAGGCATTTCATACAGCAGATTTTTTAGGAGAAAACTTAGTGCGTACTTGAATAAAATTCTATTAAAATATTTATTCTTTCACTTCTCAAGAACAACTAAGAAAATAATTCTCAACAACACATTAAATAGCACTGTTAACAACTAAATAACAATATTAATTAAATATTTTAAGAAAAACAATTTTCATAAATACTGTAATACCATTGTAGAGTTTTAAACTGTACAACATATCAAAAATATTTTTAAAAAACTGTATCAGACCAAATGGAAATTATATAATTGTTTTGGTTGTTTTGTTTTTTTCTTCCGGGTTCCTAGAAATCCATAGACACCTCATGGCTGAAGGAACCCTTTTTTGTACAATTTCTGTATGCATTTGAAATTAGTTATATATGGATATAAATCTTCATGTCATTTGAGACAATTGTAATTTTGTATTTTTTCAGTGACTATTTCCAAACAAAAAAATGTGATTACTTCTTAAATATCGACAGTGAAGCTCATTTGGATAATCCTAACTCATTGGCACTTCTTATTGTACAGAACAGGTGAGTGAAAATAAACCAAACCTAATGTTGAAATTGACATTTATTCTAAGAAAAAATATTCTTATATTTACCCTTTATGACTGTAATGTTAAATATATGAGAAAACCAGTTATGCTGCAACACATACATTCTGGCATTATTTGTTACTTTAGGCAATTCTCGAAAATTCAGATTGTTCACCAAAAATAAGACCCATTCCATTTTTTTTAAGCAAGCTGTGCTGCATTTAAGGAAACATTTAATCAAAAGTTTTTAGCCATTTTTGAGAATTTTGAAAATATTGTTGCTGTAAAGCACCCCGAAAATCAAAATATCTGTTTCAAATTTACAGACCCTTGAGCTCAGCCAAATAAATCTGGAAACATCAATTTTGTAGATAACTGTCTGGACAGTTTGGGGATTACCATTGACAGGACTAACTTTCTGATGAAAAATTGCAACTCTCTCCAGCAGTATTATGTTACATTCTCTTTACCATCTGTGTACCTAGTATGGCAAGAAAGTAAAAATCAGAACAAACTATTTCTTCATGAGAACATACTTTCTCATATTACTTTTTCTTTCTGTACTATAGTAGCCTGTAGTATAGGTAGGAAAAGTATGGAAATGATCTTACCAATACAATCTCAATTTTTTTTTCTTTCTTTCTCTCTTTTCCCCAAACAAATAGAACCTATTTTTTAAAGATCTTTTTTTTTTTTAATAGATTGCACTTTTGTGGTGTTAAGTTTTTGGAATTTTCGAAATTACAGAGAGTTTGCTGGAAATGGGGCTAGCCCCACTTTGTTTTACCATGCCTTGATACATATGAGAAGAGACTTGGTAAATCTAAAGAAAAAAAAAATTGGAGCCATTTTTGAACAAAAACTGAAAATGTGAATGAGGCTTCATGTAAAGTACCCCTCAAAATCAAAATATCCATTTCAAACTTAAAGGGCCTTATATTCTCATTGAGATTGATTAGAAAATATCAATTTATGGAGAAAATTGGCTGAACTTTTTAAGGGCTAGCATTGACCACAGTTAAACAGGCAGACATTTTGCCATCAATCTATGTTTTTGGTATCAAGGACTCGCAAAACATGAATTCTGATTATACAGCATGTGAAAGGAAGTAATTTACTAAGTATAGGAACTGTTTATGCACTGTTTTGTTACCAGGGTCCAGGCCATTTTTCTTTTGAAAATACACTTTTTTCCACTGCACAATTACAATACTGGCTATTCTAATGAAATAAGGGTGAGAAAGTTAAAATTTGAGTAGCACATTATACAAGTTGAAACTCAGCTTAATAAAATTTTATGTTAGAGAATGTAGTTTTGTTGCCTGTTTCTTTTCTTGTTTTTGCCTTTTTTCATACAAATTTTTATTTTGTAATATTTTACTTATCCTAACTCTTGTAAAGAATTTTGTCTTAAAGAAGTAGTCTTCTTTCTGAAGTTTCTTTGAAATGATGATGGTCAGAGACCATTTTTAACAACAATGATTTAGTTGTATCTTTTTATATCTTTATACAGACAAAATGCAAGCAAAATTAAGTGTGTCCACAAATGATCACAGCTCTCTAGGAAATAAGGAGGACAGATTCAAGGAAAAGAAGATTGAAATATAAGGTTTCAAACCTGTAGAATTAAATTCTGGGTCATGAGAAAAATGAGTTTCTAATCATTTTTAGCCATATCAATTTATATGCTTTAGAGGACAAGAGTGATTTTAAATTTTATTTTATGCCTGCTAGGAGTATTGTAGCACCACTACTGTTGCGTCCGTACAAAGCATGGTCAAATTTCTGGGGAGCTCTTACACCAGATGGGTACTATGCTCGCTCATCGGATTACATGGACATCATTCACAATGAAAGAAGGTATGTAGTACTTATTTAATATATTACAACTTATTTCCATTGTATTAACTATGCCAGTTAAGTAGCTAAGAAACAACTTTTCTAATGTTCTTTCTATTTAAAAACTGTTTGGGATATCTTTATTGGTCTTAAACAAATTCGTATCTACTTACATGGTTCACCTGTGTGAAATATTCTCTAAAAATTTTCTGGAGACCAGCAGGATTGAGTGTTTAATGTTTTTGATTAAGTCTTATCCTACATTTAAAATGTCTAAAACGCAATGGTTTTACAACATTTGTTCTTTTCAGAGTTGAATAATGGTGCAAACTTAAAAATCATGTGTTTAATTCAATAACTTTATTTTTATCCACATAAATGATTACTTATTTTTAATGCTTCCTTTAAAACTTTTCTAGACAATGAACACTGAAAGTGAAACCAGTCTTCAAATAGAATATAGAAACAATATTTACAACATTCATGACTATTGTTCATTTTTCCTTTTTTTTTATGTCTTCATATATGTTAAAGAAATTGTTTGGTTAGGTATGAATCATTTCTCAATAACCTTGAATGAACTATATTTTCACACTGTAAATAGTTTTTTGTAAAAGGAAGTTCATGGAAACAGCCATTATGTGGATGTTAATGAACAAATGTCTGGGTGTTTTCTTAAATCTCTTTGAAATGTTTAATCTATCAATCATGTGTAGAAGTACCTTTTTGACATGAACAAATTTTACTTCCTTTTTTATAAAATTCTGAGGCAATTCAATATAAAATCCTTTGAGCATTGTAGATTGGGGCTTTCCTTTTTCTTCTTTTTGTAAATGATATGCCCTCCGCATTTTTTGAATGGAAAAATATTTCTCCATGCTGACAACACTAATATTTAGGGCTGGAAAAAATCTCTTTTTGTTTAAAAAAATCACATTTATTTGATTTAAAGAAGAATTTTTTAAATAGGATTAAATGTTTTACTTTAAACCAATATCCTTAAGTGATTTATTTATCCTTAATTACTTACAAGCAGAAAAAAGTTAATGAAAATGTCAGTTTTTAAATTTATTTTTAAATTACTGTAATTTTATTATGATAAAAAAATAAAGATACTATTTATTTAAGTGGCCCAGTGTAATACCCCCCTAACCCGTAAAATCGTTAAATTTGAGTTACTTATAGTTTTGTGCTCTTGAAAAACTTCTTTTGCGTCCACTTCACGGAATAAGCATGTGGTACCATTTAGATTTAGAAAAAAGTCATTCTTCGTTCTAAGAAATTTTACCTTTTTTTGTGCAATACCGCCCTAATCAAAAAGCACTTATTGTTTCCAACTAAATTCATTGAGAAAATTATAACAATGTTAAACAGTTTTTGAAATATTAAATTCCATTTAATAATTGTCCTAGTTTAACTGAAAAATATGGGGTATAATGGTTGTTACTTGCGCACTTTCGCATTTACCCATTAATGGTCATTTACATTAACCCTTTAACAGTATGCTTTCCACTTGAAATGGACTTTTATCAACATACATATAAAGCAAAAGATAAATCAACATACATATAAAGCAATATTATTAAAACTTGAAATTGACCTCTTTATTGGAAACTAAAAGAAAATAAAAGTTTTTCTGTGAACAGTGGAGAGTACAATAACTGTTCTCCAATCCTCAAGAAGAATCTTTATGTTTGACTTGAGATGAATGTTTAATTTTTATTCTATTATCCCTAATTTTCTATTTAATTTTATTCTACCTATATCAGATACATTGATTATTAATTATTTACTTTGATTGGCCACATTGGACCACTTAGAAAGGTCCGTTCCACTTCACTTTTTTACTGTTCATGGGTTGGACTGTCAAAGGTTTTCACCTTGAGGTGCGCGATAAAATCCCGAGTTTACAATTCTGAATGGTATTTCAGAAAGGAGATAAGAGAAAATGGAGCGATGTGCGGATAGGGGTGAAAGGACGAAACACAATACAACATGCCGAGGCGGACTCGAACCCAGCGATCTTTCGGTACGAGATCGCTACGCGCACTACTGCCTAAGCGATCTCGGCCACCGGATCGGCAGATACATTGTAAAACAATAAAAAATACAAAAACTGTGAGCCATAATAATTATGTTTTTTCCTTGTATTTTTTAAAAAATTACTTTAATATGCAGAAATATGAAGTTGTCTGGTCTGATTCATAAAGAAATTTAATCATTTTCAGATGAAAGTCATCAAAATATTTGTTTATTTTGGAAACTGATTGATACAAAAGACCGTCTCAGATAATTATTTTGATTATCTTGTAGGGTACTGCAACGTCTTTGAGAATGAATCTGGTGTAGTTACTATGGCATGCATGTCTTTTATTATTGAATAGAAAGGGAAAGAGGGAATTCTGTTGAAAAATTTAATGTTTTATTCAAAGTAGGCCATGCTCTTTCGTCATATAGGTAACAATGGGAGACTATTTCACGTTTATCACATCTCTTTGAATCTTCAAGACCTACTGTAGACATAATTTGAATTGTTTTTGCTTGTAATTTTACTTTTGAAAAATAGGTAAATGCACATCATTATGTTTAATGATTTTATTGAATTTTGATAGGGTACTCATATTCAAGTTGTGAAGCACTGTTATTTTGCAGATAATGAATTCAAAGATATTGAGTGAGGAATAGGCTAATAATTTATCTTTTCTCTTTAAAGACTTTGTATTAAATGAAGTGTTATGATTTTTTCATGTCAGATAATTTATTTTATTGTGAATAAATAATCATGTCCCCTAATTTATAGTTTAATGCTCAGAGTAATATGCAACACAATTCATTGAGAGGCAAGGATTCAAGGAAATAGAAAAAATATGATTTATTTAATTGTACATGATGTCATAATTGTATAAAATTGTTTACCCATCCTTGTGAGTATTGTACATTCTCAGTGATAGAATACTTTCATTGCAGCATTTTTTCTTCAGTGTTTCTAAAATATAAAAAGCAATTTTTTCAGAATACAGGTTTATTTTTTGTTATTTAGAATGTTTACTTTGTAAAAAAAATTAAAACAGAAAGATTTGACAAAAAATTGCTCATAATTTTTAGATCTTCTAATGCGCTAGATAATGAACAATAAGAGCATTGTATATCTTCTGAAGGTTAGACACTGTATTCAGCATATCTAGACATTTTTACTACAGTTTGTATTGACTAGGAACACATTACAAACATATGTAAAACATTTTTTAGTACTTTTTTTAAACTTATAGCAAAATTTCTTCTTTCATTTCAAAACATTTTTTAAAATCTGGAGTCTTTTTCTCTCTTTAATGCTATTCAAACTCTGCTCAATCACTATTTTTACAATAGTAATGTTTGAGCAATTAATAAAAACTTTGTTTCTTAATACCCTTTGCTTGTTTGTAAATTATTCTGTATTTCTTTCAGATCATTCAATCATTATTTTTTTCTTTTGTATAATAATCAGGAACAATATTGCACTGCATTTTACATTCTCGCATTATATTGAATAAAGCTTATCTTCATTACTTGTGTCACCTATTAATAATTATGAAATTTATGCTAATTCATACACATGTGTCTAAGAGATTTTCTTAAATTCATTTGTAAGTTAAAATTTACTTGGTCTATAATTTTTTAACTTAAAAATAAAAGCCTTGTGAATGAAAGTTTGAAAAAAGAAAAATTACTTATTCATTACTCATATTATTTTTGTAGACTATTTACAAATTTGAAATAATTTTATTCAGTATCCTCTGATATGTTATAAATCCTCTAAATATTAAAATTATGGTTTTAACAAGATTTTTAGCAACATTATGTTTACACTTAAGAAATGTAGTTAATTGAAACACTAATGAATTAACCTTCAACTGTTGAAATATTGTTTATGTTCTCGATTCTATTTCTTACTTGATTTGTGCATGATTTTTGTATATAAGAGCACTTCAGATTTAAGACTGAAAAAATTCTCAAATTGTCATTAATATGAAATGTTAGTCGAAAGCTATACTGAAATCTGTTTTAAAGCTGCGTCGATCAATCGAGTACATGTTATCAGCAGAACACTCATAAAGCCCAGCATCCATTTGTGTGGCTGGATCAATTTCCAGTTTTGATTTAATTTTGTCATCATTGATCACCCATTCATGAATCTGTTGAAAAAGAAAATTAGGATAATGCTGAATGATTTTTCATTAAATGAAACTCCTAATAGCTAATCAAGTTCATGTGCATTTGTATTCATACTTACATGAAGATATGAGTGTGCATATAATTCAATTCCATCCTTAAACCATGTTATAGAAGGACGAGGTGAACCTTTTGCCAAACACAGGAACACAATCTTATGACCCAACATATATTCATAGTCAAAATGGGATGCTTCTAATATTTTTGCTCCCTGAAAGTAAATGATTTTATTAGATAAACTTCAGGATATGAAATTTTCATGATTTGAAATTACCTAAAACAAAATTTATTTGCAAGTTTGATGTGAGATTTTAATACAAAGAAAATAATTCTTTGAACTTATTAAGAATGTTTTTTTAACAGTTTTTCTTGAAAACTAAATTACAGAAGAATTTCCTTATCTGAATTCAGCCATAAAGTAAAAAACTTATGTTCCAATAATACATACATTGTTATTGTTGTAGTATTTGTCAGACTCAGGGTCTCTGTATTGCCCTGTAACTGGCAACCCTATCTGAAATTTACTTTTTGTTCTGCCACGGGCTCGACCTCTTCTTCCCATTACTCCTTTTGGACCATCACACACAAGCAGAACAAACACTAGTGCAAGTAATTGCTTCCAAACTATCATAACTAGGACAGAAAATATTATTTAAGTGGGACTATATTCAATATGTAGTAATCAAGTTTTTATTTAAGTAACTCCAAAATGTTTTGACTGGAAATATTGCCAAATTTTATTAATGTTTTAGTTTACATTTTCTACTCATTCTTTCATTTTACTATTGTATATCATAGCATCTGCAAATTTTGTAAATCCTTTATGATAAAGTAAAAGCATCAGGAATCACAATTGATAATTACTTTTCTCTATGTACTTTTAAGTTGTAGACAGAATCAATATACCTGCTATGAGTTCTCCCTCCTGTGTCTGTTGCTGCGTGCTACTGATCCCTTCAAGAAGTGATGCCTATTGGCACCCAGCAATGGCCAGGGTCACGAGAGCCCTGTGTCGACAGGGGCCTTAACGAGCCCCTTCCTCATTTCCCCTTCTCCTTCCCCTCTTCATAGGATCTTCCTCAGTGTGCTATTTCCTTTTAATATAAATGCATATCGCAAGTATTTTTCCATCCTTAAGCTCAAATGTATAGATTTTTCTTTTTCTCTTTATTTTTTTTTTCCTTTTGTGTTGTGGTGAACATTAAATTCAGAAATGTATGATATTCTACTAGAATTATGTGAACTTGTTCCTCAATTGCCACGATTCTTTCAAGTAAAAATCAATTTGGTGACAATTTAATAGCATAGAATATTTATAATTTTTTATGAATTTGAGGGAGCAAGGTATTTGTGAGTTGTCTTCAATTAAGAAAATTTCAAGTTACCACTCTATCATAAATATTTATTTATTTATTATTCATTAAATTATTACATTTTTTGGAATGAACATTTTTTTAATATTATGTTGTAGGACACAATAGAAAGAAATAGAATGTTTTTATTTTTAAATCAATTGAATTATTTTTCAAAAATAGTTTTATTTGTTGTTTTAAGTGAATTAGTTGGCAATTTATATCATGCACAATTAAATACAAGTAAAGTACAGAAAGAAAAATATGTTTTATCAGTAAGTGTATATAACATAATCTGTTCGAAAACCTCTTCGATCAATTGCATACTGATTATCTGCTTGACACTCATAGTAACCAGCATCTTTTTGTGTTGTTGGATCAATTTCCATTTTAGATTTCATTGTATCATTGCCAATGGGCCACTCGTGAACCTGTATGAACAAACAGTAATGTGTAACAATTTTTACATGTTAATTTGTCAATTAATAATATATATTCAGTGTTTGCATTTGTACCAACCTGAAAATATTTATGTGCAAAAAGTTCTATTCCATCTTTAAACCAAGTTATTTGAGGTCTTGGTAAACCTTGTGCCATGCAGAAGAATGTAATTTTTCTTCCTAGCATGTAATCAAGTTCAAAATGGGAACATTTCACAATTCGAGCACCCTGCAAACAATAGTGTAGGCTGTTGGTAGTGTATTGTTTTGGTAATGACTAGATTTTTCACGTGTAACAATTTAGGAAGTGAATCAATTCTGTAATTATTAAATACTAAACCCTATTAATTTTTTTAAACATATTGTTATACTTACATCTTTGTGGTCATAGTAATTAGCACTTGCTGGGTTGTGTCGAATGAGAACAGGCATTCTAGATCCATACCCTCGTTTGCCCCCTCCTCTGCCTTTACCCCCTCCTCTGCCACCTCCTCCACCTCGTGCACCTTCTGTTGTTTCCAGCCATAACAAACAGCATATGCACACACATAACAGAACCAACTGTTGACATCGGATCGCCATCGAAAAGTGCAAAAGTGGCACAGCCTCATATATCATAGAAGTGTCCATTTAATAGCACTTAGGATATGATTGCAACATCTCATATGTGGAGATGATGAACTGCATGGGTGAGATCTCAATTGAATGATTGCTGTGTCAAATGAGATAGATAAATTGGTCTTTGATTGCTAATGGATCTGTATGCTTATTAACTATGATGTCTGAGAGTGTGAGACTTCATTTCTATTTATGACCTGTTTTCTGTTACACAATTGTTGTGGCAATTGTTCTAAAATTGTGTTGCATTCTTTGGATATTCTTCAGACTGCTTTAAAAGTCAAATTTTCTTTCCTTTTTCAGAGGATTATGGAATGTACCTTATGTCAGTGCTTGCTACTTGATTAATGCATCAGTAATCAACAATCCTGAAACAAGACCTATATACATTGATGAACAGCTGGATCCTGATATGTCTTTCTGCAAAACTATGAGGGACCGGGTAAGATCCCTGTGTTAAAATACATTTTGTTAGACATTATTGAACAATTATTTTTAAAATCTGTATTATTTTTAGAATGTTTTCATGTACGTAAGCAATCGAATGGATTTTGGACATTTGGTAAATGGTGATAATTATGATACAACCAAGACAAACAGTGAAATGTACCAACTATTAGATAATCGTTGGGATTGGGAACAACGTTATCTCCATGAAAACTACTCTGAGAACTTCAATCCAAACAAGACAGCCATGCAGGTGAAAATAATATTTAAGGTTGTGTTGCTTTGTTTTTGTTCTATTGCATCATTTGTGTGATATAACTCTTAAATCTTTTTCAGCCTTGTCCAGATGTTTATTGGTTTCCAATTGTTAATCCTCGCTTTTGTAAGGAATTCATTGAAATTATGGAAGCATTTGGTCAGTGGTCTGATGGCACAAATAAAGTACGTTCCTGTGAAATATATTTGGCAATATGAAAAATACATTGATTATCATTATTTTAATGAGTGTCTTATGTGTGTAATTTATTACTTGTGTTTTTGTACATTTTATGCACAGTAAAATTATTACAGGATCCCCGATTATTGGGTGGCTATGAGAATGTCCCTACCAGAGACATTCACATGAATCAAGTTGGTCTTGAGCCACTTTGGTTGGAATTTCTGAAACAGTATGTGAGACCATTACAGGAAATGGTTTTCACAGGTTATATCCATGATGTATGTATACTCCTTTTCACAAGGCATTTGTGGGAGAAACAACTTTCAGTATTTGAATTGCAAGTTGTCTTCACCTGCTTATGCCTTGTATGATATTATGTTTATGAAATATCTTAATTTTTGCCATAGGATCCAAGAATAGAGGGTGGTTATGAAGCTGTCCCCACTCGTGACATCCACATGAAACAAGTGGGTCTGGGCGATATGTGGGACTTATTCCTTGAAGAGTTTGTGATGCCTCTGCAACAGAGTGTTTTTATAGGTTACACCAATGTAAGACTTGACAAATGACTGTATATAAGGGAAATGGTTCAATCCCTTGTGGGCGTAGAGTGGTCTTGGACAGCTTATAGTAGATTGAATGGGTTTTGTGTATTTGTGTCTTAGATGTTCTGTTGATGCTGCTATTGCTGTAATGGGGTTAATAGATTGTCTACAGTCGGTGTGTCATTTCTTTCTTCTTTTGTGACTCATTTTTGGAAACGAGTGTTTCATGGATTGTCTAACAGTGCTGGGGAAATAATAAATTGTTTTTTTACTTTTCCTTTAATGTGCTTGTTGATTAATGTAAATATTATGCAAGTGAAGAAAAATGGTTGTGGTAGTATTTGATTGTGCAAGATATATTACCTAATATACATATTAAGGTCTTTTACTAAGGCATTGAGACTACAAACCTTTACTTTTTTAATTCATAGTTGTATTATGTTGAGTTGTGGATTTATCCAATTTCATTTAAAAGAAAAAACCTTAAGTATATGTTGCTTTTTATTTAATATGTGGGAATAAAAATTAAATGAACAGTTAGGTCATGATAAAGGCTCTGGGTCTGCAACATGACTTGTGACCGTTACTTTTTAAATTGTATACCTGAAGACGTGATGAAGATAAATTCACATGTTTTCATTCATTAGATATACATCTTGATTCATTGTAGAAGTTAATTAATTATCAAATTGGTTAATAAAATAATATAATAATGGGTCAATAATAAAACTATCAATATCGTGGATTGAATTTTAAAAAAGATATAGTGGTCAAACCAATCGTTTTACTACATTTCAGGGAATTTTTAAACAATTGATTAAAGTGTAGCAATAATTGCTTTTGATTGAAGAATGCATTATATCTTTTGATTATTTCAAAAACAACTGAAATGTAGAACAAAGACAATTCATAAACAAATTTTTGGAAGCTTTGGACACTCTTTTTGTAAATATAAAACTTTCACTTACTCATGTGGATTTTTTATATTTGTACTGAATGTTTTCCTTCTTGTAAGTAGGGTAAAATTAGTTGTAGTGGTGACAGGCTTAGTATCTATCTCTTTGTTCAAAATTTTGTATCAGTATTTTAAAATTAAAACATTAGTAATGGTTCTCTTATTCTTTCCAGCCACCTCGCTCTTTAATGAATTTTGTGGTTCGTTATCGGCCCGATGAACAACCATCTCTCAGGCCTCATCATGATTCATCTACATACACAATTAATATAGCACTCAACAGACCAAATATAGATTATAAGGTAAAATTCAATTACGCATTTGTCTTATTTTATTAGCTTCTTTTTAGTTTATTTCAAATCAGTTATACTTCCATGTATGGGAAATGTATTTTATCTCATTTTCAGGGTGGAGGATGCCGATTTATTCGGTATAACTGTAGTGTTACTGACACCCGTCTTGGTTGGATGTTATTGCATCCTGGTCGCCTTACTCATTATCATGAGGGTCTGCGTGTCACATCTGGTACTCGTTATATAATGATATCCTTTGTGGATCCATGAAGAAATATTCCGTCTTCTATTGGCTGTGGATACAGATTGCTGCTTCAGAACGGTGCTACAAACAAAAACTAATCTTTTAGGATTGTTTTTGTTTTAAAGTAATGGTAACTAAAAAATACTATATACAAGATGTGACGTGATTTTTCATTAAGGTCTAATGTGTTAAAATTAAAATTAATTTTCAGACCTAATTTTGTGAAAAAGTGAGTAAGCAAGCTGTCTGGTAGTACATGCTTCATTAAGTGTGTTATTTGTTGCCCAAAGAAATCAATCTGTACATGGGCTGGATTATTGCATTACATGAGAAATAAGTACCTAAACATATAATTCGATAAGTTTTCAGTAAGTCTGATAAAATGCTGAAGTGCAATATTGCAATTAGTGATGTGATTCACACATAAAATAATAATTTCATATTCTCTTTCATCCTGTATGACCACACAACTAAAAATGTTTCTCAATTTTTCTGTCATTTTTATTTCTGTGGAGATAATTATTACACCTTCATTTTCATTAAATAGATTTAAAATTTTTTTGAAATGTTAAATTGTTGGGGGTTTGTTTTGCTAATTTTCCCTCTTCATTCTCAGTGTTTGTACTTGTGGAATGCATTTTATATTCAAGGAGTAAAAGCAAAAGAGCATGCTATGCAATATTAACATTCTTATGATTTACACTGTTTATTTGTTTTGATAATGAATGATTGAACTAGAATATATGTTTTCTTCAAAATATTGTTTTAAACTATATATACTGTAAAAATGCTACTCTAATTCTAAATATAATAGTGAAACATGTATATGAGGCTAATGAAGCAGTATTATCAAACTTCGTGTAATTTGTGAGTAATTTTTTGTGGCCTAATAATGATTTAATACAATGTATTTTAATAGTGCATACATATAAAAATAGGCCATCATACATTTGTAAAATCTTAATGCCATTGGTGAAAATGCTGGGACCATTTTGAAATCCTTTCCTTCATTATTTGTTATACAGAGCTGTTAACTAATTATTTACTTAATACATTTTATTAATATAAGACTTAAATATTTTATATATTTTACTGATTGATTTAATGTAGTTGGATTTGACAAATCATGCACATACTTTTTATGTGTAGGTATTATTTGTAGATTTCTAATACTCATTTTCTTTCTGAGCTGGCAGTGCTGCTTAAAGCAGTGTATTATATAAAAGTTACCCAAGACAGAATTGTTCCTATTAGTAAGTGTAATGGAAAAAGAGAATTTAAAAGGTGCACTAGTCATCAAAATTATGAATCAATGTAAATTTATGTGTACATGCAATTACAGATCTATAGCTTTTGAATGTATAAAAATAGACTTTGCCTATTCTTTAATTAAATTGGGAGCTACATGTGACAATATATTAAGTCACAATATCTGATCTCACATTGATTTGCATTAATGATAATTGTTTGAAAGATGCATTCCAATAATATAGTATGTGTGCATACTCAAACTCTTTTCATTTACTAGGAAACAATTCTCTCTCAAAACATATTGATGTGTGAACATTACATTAATAAACGATTGTGTTCATCTAATGTGGATAAATATGTATTAAGTGTAGTTGTGGAACATGTATGATATGAATGATAGATAATGAATATCACAAAAAATATTTTCTCTAGTTTCATTTGCTAAGCCTGTTTTCAATCAAGCTTAAAGGGAAATTTTATGATAAACATGTCCTTTCAATATTTACTCGGCTGTCCGGGTGACGCCGCGTCCATGGCGAAGGTGCCGACGTTTCGGTCGCCATTCTGCGACCTTCCTCAGGGCGTAATGCCTTGCTGCCTGAGGGAGGAAGGTCGCAGAATGGCGACCGAAACGTCGGCACCTTCGTCATGGACGCGGCGACACCCGAACAGCCTAGTAAATACTGACTCGGGCCGCGGAAGCCTACGCTCTCACATGTTCTTTCAATTTTTTTTGTTTTATAACTTTTTTTAATCAATTTTTAATAAGTGGCAAAATTACTTTGTAACATTCTTTTCTTTCTTTTGAAGTTTTGAATGATCAGTAGAAACACAAAAAATGATCTTGAAAATATATTTTGCTTCATTTTGCAACTTCCTAGTTACAGAGCGAGCGACTTGCAGACTCGCATGAAGATACTGTTCCGACATTAAGTAGTAATATGAATTTCCTTTTTCTATTAATTATTTTTCTATATATGATTTGACAACAAAATAAATAGAAAATGTTAAAATGAGAATTAAATTTAGTTAGTTTCAGGTACATTCTGCCTACCTCACAGAACTTGATTCATGTTTCAGTGCTATGGTTTCGCTCATAATCAAAGCTTGGGCATGCTACATCTTCATACATAAAGGCCAAGGTGTTTTGGTCGAATGTGTCATATCACAGATAACCTAGAATGACGCAGGCTAAACTCAGCTCATGTTGTGATACAATTTTATTCGTTTTAATGTATATACGAAAATATTTTTACCTGAACGTTTCGTGACAAGTTAAAATTAATAGTTACTGAAAAATGTTGGGAGAGGAAAATCCCCCCCCCCCCGTGGATCTGCGCCTGTTGAAACTCTTCCAATTGATGGTTCTAGTATCCTACAGAATGGGAGGTACACATTTATTCAAAATGGGTCGGCAGCACGCGCCAATGACACGATTGAAGGCCCTCGCTCTCGTATCCATGACGAAAGTGTGTATTACTCCGGGTCAGCCCATCAAACGTCACCTTTACCCGCGTCAGAATACACTTCGCGGCAGGTTGCTTGCCGTGACTAGTGTCTTTCGGACGTTCTGTCTTTCGCCCACAGAACGGAATAAATTCCGTTGACGTGGTTATTTCGCTTGATAACAGTTCCAACTTTTGCACCGGTTCCAGAGAGGATGGCATCCGGCGAAGAAAAAATTGTAGCTTCTGAGTTGCCATTTTAAACAGTCACAGATCTAGAAGGTTCTTGTAAAGAAATGTGTCTTTGCTAGATTAAAACCAAACAGACAAATGGATTTCAGACAGCATCTACCTCTCATCTCTACCCTGTGCTACCATCCCTTTCACGTGCGTGTCGCCCTATGCCGCTATTGGTTCGCTTAGCTACTTCTAGAATATTTTATGGGGTTGTGGATGAATATTGGTTGACCCAGTTCCCACTTTGATGACCTTCATAATCTGATCGTTCCAATAGGTTATCATTGTTTAGCTACTGTTGAGGATGGGTGGCCGGGGGGGGGGGGCATCTGCTGTAAGTCGGCGCTCTGGGGGAAGAATTACAGCTATTCCCAAATAATTATCAAGGTGGCATTTGCGATATTTGTCTTTGTATACTCTGCGTTTTCACGGCAACGCGGGCATCAAGTGCGCGAGGCACGGTTTGAAGAAGGTCGAGTGGCTTCTTTGCTTTGTGAGTCGGGAGTCTCAGAGGGGGATGACTTAGACTTTGTTGCAAGCCCTTTAGAAGAGAGACGTTGTCACCCTTTGTCGAGCTTTGTAGACCTTCGAGACAGCCGGCAGCTGAGTGTAGCTAATGTGGGGAGAGTTTCGGGGCGTGTGAGCTATGACAATTGCACATGTGAGATGTCGAGACATCTCTCACTCTTTCTCTCAATACACACACGCGCGCGCGCGCGCGCGCGCACACACACACACACACACACACACACACACACATATAATAGATTTTTTAAAAATATTTGTATTCTTTGAAATAGCAAAGGAGTACATTAAAATAGATTTTAGGTCAATGGTCATAAATCAGTGCATTTAACACCATCCATACAAAAAATTAAAAGAGAAAGTTTGGAGCCATTTTTGAGAACATTTTGCTTTCAAAATTGCCATTATTTCATGCAGAAGTAGTGAAAACTACTCATATTTTGAACAAATTTGTGCTTTACCTCGTTTAAAGGTCTAATTTCAAAGAATAGATATTATTCACGAAAAAAAACTTCTCTTCAATATTGTAGTTGTAGAAAACCCCAAACGCTTTTAAACGTTTGCAATTTTCGCTAAATTCAGAGAATTAATTGAAAATTGGTACTTGAATTTCGCTCTAGAAACTGGGATGTCTTCTATAGGTTACGGGGTTCGTGACACAAACTGGTGGTGGGCAGAATGAGCAAAAATCGGTGCGCCGAAACAACTCACCCATGTATTTCCATCACATTGAATCTTTTTAATTATTGGTAAAAACGGGTTGGGTAAAAAATTATTGGTTTTAATTATTGGTTACTCACATTTCGGCGCGAATTTTTAAACTGGTAAAAAATGGTTTTAATGTTTTTCAACTATCGTCCATATTGTTTAAAATTTTCACAAAATCACATTCTTGGGGGGAAAACTGAGACAGAACAGTAGCAGAAGTATTGGAAGTGGAACGTTTCACTAGTAAATCGTAGTTAAAGCGTCTTCGAGATGTTCTCTTCTTAAAATCGTGATCAGAAAGATTAAATCAATTGGAACATCTGATGTATACTATACGGTGATAGCCCCTCTTGTAGCACAGTGTACAACGATTCACAGAACATACTCTAGCACTCTTCTCTTTGTAAGATGCGTATTCCGACTGATGTTCGGAAACTTTTACTCATATCCTTTGACAAGTGGTCTGTTGTAATTTACAAGCAAGGTCAGGAGGGCGCCCCATCCCTAGGACGCAAAGGGTCCCACCAGTAAAATTCGTTTCGCTGTCTTCCATCCCTTCTAGAGACAGAGTGAGCACTTAAGATAAAAATCTTTCTTGAAACCCTAATCCAGCAGACGGTCATTCTTTTTATTGTTCTTCAGCACTTGGATCAACACAATTTCGTTGGTACAGGTGGCACGCGCCCGGATAATAATACTAAACCCATTAGTTCCCAAGGTTACCATCTGGTAACGAAAATTCCGGCAACGGCACAGAAACGTTGTCTGTGCAATTTTTTGATCTGATCGAGTTCATGTAGAAATTTTAATTTTTAAAAATAATTACTATTTTTTAAATGAAATATTATTTTTTTGAAAAATTAATTTACGCAGGGATAAAAAACATTTTAAAATAATAAATGAAACAAACCAGGAATTTTTATATTAAATACATTCGGAGTACCAATCAGTCATATTTTGCAAAGTACGCGTTAATTCCAAAATTTAACTACCCATAACTACACAAATCAATTTTCAGGTGATTAAAAAACACGGTCTTTTTTTATTTCCAGATTTAATACAAAAATCATACATTTAAAAATTTGCATGTCAGTTCTGCGATTTGACGTGGAACACCATGTATCATAGTATGTAATAAATGAGAAATACTCTCTTTTTTTTTGAGAGTTAATTCGAGTGTTATGACTCGATTTTAGGCATGAAACTGTTCAATTTCTAAGTAAAAAACGTGTTAGGGGGGAAAATCCAAATTAGGAAAACAAAGTTTTAGACACGGCAAATAAATATCGCGACACAATTAACTCTACTTAAAAGGCATGACATTCTACATACTAACAAAATGCTGAAAAATTTGGATAAAAATGAGCACCTGCCAGCACGCAACCTGAACGTAACGAAAAACAAACACCGCAAGCTTTTTGAATTGCATGACGCCACACCTTAGTTCAGCTCACTACGGACCTGCTGTAGATGGCGCAGAAATCATTAACCCCAGGGGCTCCTAACTTCGTAGGGCTGGGCCTGGCCGTAGAGGAGAGATACAACTATCTCTACTCTATGAGCCTGGCATGCATTCTCCGTAAAGATTAGTTGGGATTCCGCCCGTCGGGAGGCCCTAAAGTGGCAGTGTTAGAAACAGAAAGTGAATATTAAACAGAGAAAGAGGATTCGAATGAACGACTGCGACCGAGAATAAACGAGTGTTACCGAAGACATCGATGTCCGCGGAGGACCAGAGGACAAATATGTTTTGAAGAACAACGGCTCTCTTTCTTTTGCTGTGTTTGCTTTTGTGTCCGGTTTTGTCCTTGACGATCTGTCACCTCGGCGAACACTTTTTCAAATCAATTTTTTTTGTTCCTGGATATTAAGCTATCAAGAGGTAAGACTTCAGTGTTATTATTAAATTATTTATGTTATTAAATCATTATTAAAGTCTAATACATACGAAAATTCGTCAATTTATTATATAATGTAGAGCACGATGTCTTGTGTTTGCTTCCAGATGTCTACCTGTTGCGTATGTCTCATAACCTTTAAATCATTAGAAAAACGATTGGAAGGAATCTCGTTCCACAGATTCCCTTCCAAAAAGACAAGGCCCTTTGTCCTGCAAAAATGGAGGGAATTTGCAGGGATCCCAGATGGCGAAAGAATCAGTGACAGGCGTATGTGCAGTGCGCATTTCAGGGCTGAGGATTTCGTTGCTGTTGCCCCCAAAAGGAGATTGCGATGTGGTGCAGTTCCGTGTTTACGTGAGTATATTTTCATTTAATTTTAAATTTCTTTTAAAAATATAATCACTGGTCACGAAATGTAAAAATAGTAGTCTTTTGGATGTACTCCAAATCGCTGCCAAACATATTCGTGCTTTTGAACCACATCCAGAGAGTATATATCAGAGACGGCACTCAATGTTAAACGGAAAGCCCTTATTTTCGTGGAGGGGAGAAATTCGAATCTTCCACCCCAACAGAAACAACGAATGAGAAAGAGGCAGCCATATTCGCCCACCGCCAGCCAATAAGCGTCGAAAGGCAGTAAACCAATTGAAATGGAGGATGGACGTGAACCGGGCTATTTGAAATTACATTATTTAGTAAATTTTCAATATGGTGGACATGGTTATGTACTATATAAAATGTATAAATATGAATATAAATATGAATATGAACATAAAAATGAATG